TTTGGCACAACCAGATAGAAATATTTTGGGTAAAATGGACAATTTTACCACATGTGACCAGTATTTGAGTAAGATTTCAGTCCACTGTTGTTATGACCCTACAGTAATTCCTTATGTGAATGAGGTACAAGACATTTTAAAATAATTACAGTAAAAATACATTTTCATAATAAGCCATGTACTATGAGAAATGTGTATAAAATAGCTTGATAATAGTAATAATAATACAGCTCTTCAGCTTTTCCCAGATCTCATCTCTGTCCACAAGTTCTAATGTCACTTTGTTCCACGAGATCAAAATAGATATTACAGAGTAAGAAAAAGCTTTCCATACAAATCCAACTGTATAAACATTATACTAAGTTCTTGCTAGGTAAAGTCCCAAAAAGCCAAAGTGGAAAATGAAATGCACTTTTTCTTTTTGACTGCCTTTGAAAATGATTACTATAAAATGACTCTGCAGTTAGACTTCCCATTATGAGAGAGCAAAGGCAGGATGTTGGCGGCTGTGCACCTCTGGAAAAGACAGAACAAACATATTCAATCCTACTTTACCTACTGTATACATTCTAACTACAGCTTTACATTTCTGTATTTCATGTGTGTCACAATTCTCCTCTACATCTCTTGCCAGGCTATACCCTTGTGGTAGAGTGGGTGCTGGGCAGGCCTGCAGAGCTGTACCCAGCAGGGAAGGTGCTGTATGGGCTCATGCTGGACAGGCCCATCAGGGAGTTGGGGATCATGGTGATGTTGTTGGGGGTCATCAGAGGGATGTCGTCAGGGGAGCGGCGCTGGGTAAGTGAGTAATCCAAGCTGGGTGAGATGTGAAGAGGATTGTGGAGGGCCTCGCACTGGCTCCTTTGTTGAGATGACAGGGTTTCATCTACAGTGGTGGTGTGGCTCGCACTGTTGCCTTTGCCGTCACGCTGAGGACTTGGCTGCTGGGACGTATCCTGCCGACTGCGCTTGTCTTTGCGGTAGTACAGAGCTGCAAAGGCCAGGACGTTGAGGAAGAGCAACGATGCCCCTACAGCAATAGTGACGCTAAGCTCTGTGGAGTAATCTCTCGGGTTCGGCATGATCAGAGGACCCATCTCCCTCCCTCCTTCGCCATCACTGTGGGCAGTAGATACAGGAGCCCGCCCATTGCTGCCTGACCTCTTGCTATTGGACTGGGTGGGATCCAGTGGGGTGACCTTGGTGGTGGTTGACGAGTAATGGAACATATCATGGAGGTTGTAGAGATGGGGGACAAGGTGTTTCCAGAAGGCCACCTTGGTGGCGCGGTAATGATCACGGATTCGAGGCTTTAGGCCAATGTGCAAGTATAGCTGGTCGTAAGGGTCGTACTTAGACCAGGCTACCTCCTCGAAGCGGTTGGCCTTGGTGTGGATGAACTTCGTGTCCTGTGGCACTGGCTTATTAGGATCCCTACAAGCACATGACAGAAAATTTGGGTCATAAAAAATAACTGCTTGAAGAAGGTAGTTTATCATTGGATAATGCAATTGTTTATTGACTTTCAGCATATTGGGATGATATGATCTAATCTTATCAAGTTATCGATGTAGACAGTTTGCCTTCCACATGAATAATTCTGAGCAAGCTAACTAACAAGCTAGCTATTCAAATTTGTTCTACGTGCACTCATTTCATTGGACATTAGTTAGTTTTGGATTTGAGTTTATGTTGTGACAAGGATTTCAATCACATTGCCCAGTCCCAGATAGTAAATATAATTTTTGGCATTGCAAAATGTGCATAAAAACAGGAGAATTTCACTAATATTGGAGAAAAAAAAAGTTTGACACAATTTAAAATTATCATCTTCCCTCAAGGGCTCAGCGTTCCCTCATTACTACATTGACACAGCAGCCTACAGTGCTCGGCTCCCTCTGCTGCTAGCAGCATCACTGCAGCTGTGCTTTCAATATGCAGGAAGATGCAGTGATGCCTTCACTACAGTGCAACTCACTTAGGTGTCACTTATCTTCAAAATCACACAGCAAATCTTTGCCTGTGTATGACAAATAGTAAAACGAGCTGTCAGAAGGAGCCCTGCAGAGCTTCATTTATTGCAAGCTGAACAGCATGTTCTTCCAGTGCTGAGTCAGAGCCGGTGTAATATCTGGTCAACATCAGACCATAGCTTGTCTCGGATAATAAAATGTCATTTGCGGAAAGCTGAAAAATGTTATTAAGCTAAAAAAAAGTTTGTTCTCAATATACTTTATAATGTCACTGCTTCTAATCATTATCCTGAATGCACACATTATAGGTATTGTTAAAGAAACAAAGATACACAGAAGACAGATGCATTAGCAACTCTCTGTCAAACATATATAAATGCTAAATTGCCAGAAGGAAAGAAAGATTCTAAGTCAAGTGTAAAAGTAGAGTTCATTTCTGCCTAACTTGAAGCATTCATACTCAAATCTATAAAATACCTTCAACCTAGTTTTTTAGCACCAGTGTATAAATATTGTGTATTACAAGCAAACACGGGTATACAGTTTATACAGAACAGATTTTTGGACTGATTTTTGTGTCAGCCCTACTTGAAATCACAGCTCGCAGTAAAGTTGGCTGAGGTTTATGGAGTACATCTTATCTGCCGCTTCAAATCGTCTCTTCAACATGATTTTTTGTTAAACAGTGAGACACAGCTTGAAACATTTATGTGAATAAAGCCTAGACATAACACTGGCTCTTTAACAAAGAGACGACCTAGTATTTAAAAAGATGACTTGTGTGTACTCTGCAGTTTTCTAAGCTAATGTGACTATATCTTATTTTTTAGCATTTGGCATTATTTATGCAGTTAAATATTTTGCTAATTTCTGTCAAATTATGGTTATAAAATTTAATAATTTTTACACGAATGGTGTGGTCAGATCAATTAGAGGAAGAGGAAGCAGGCCTCACATACAGCAAGACGTGTCAGTTTTGATGTTATAATGTTTTGACTTTTGATGATGAAGGATTCACATTAACAGACAAAAACTCAAGCACCACTATGTGTGAGCTTCTGTGAATTAACAAAGGAGAAATGCAGATAAGGCTGAAAGACATGATAATGGGAGTTCAGGCTGCACTTAATTAGAAAGCACTACTTATGGATGAATCATAAAACCCTTTAATCAGGCTGATAAAGGAAGGATAAATGCAGCAGAAGTAAGATGTTGAAAATCTCAAATAAGACCTGTGCAAGTAAGGCTAGTTATGTTAGACCCCAACGCTGACTATTTCTAAACCAAAATGTGTGTAAAACGCAGTGACAGATTTTGATAAAATGGGCCCCTGGACACTGACGAATGAAAGCCCCCCCACCCCTACTACAGGAGCAAGACCCCTACAATGAAAAAAGGCACAAAATGACTACAAAACATGCAGCTGTGTAGTTCGTGGATGTTTTGACTCCCTTTTTGGTCATTCTGTGTGTCTTTAATGACATTTTGTATCTATTTGTACAGTTTTTTTCATCTCTTTGTAGTTGATTTGTGTCTCATGGTAGTTTTTGCTTCTTTCTGTGATATTTTGCAGGTGAAGCGAGGGGCTTCCTAACCCACTAAGCCCCTGGGACTGAGCCTAGTAGGGCTATTCAATAATTCATGCATGGTGTAATGAGATGCTGACTAAGATTGTGATGTAGTGTAACTAACTACAGGGTGTAACCAAGGCACATTTAGGTGCCTGGTTTGTCCCTGAATATGTGGCTACTCACCCACTCTTAGCGAAGTTGGTCCAATATGTCATAACCACAGCGCTGAGCATGATGTCATTTCTGGAGAAGTTACAGGGGAACAGATCAGTTGGGCCCACCATGGGGATGCCAAACACATAAGGCACCTCATCACCATGTGCTGAGTCTGACCACACAGGCTTCATGAGGCTCTGACAGTGGTGATAGAAGGCGTAGAAGTACGTAGGTGAGCCGTAGCGGGCGTGAAGGTCAGCTGTCACCACTGAGGGCTCTACCCATTGGTGGTCAGTGAAAAGAGCCACCAGGGTCTTCCTCCTGGTCTCCGGGTTGTCTTTGTCTGCCCAATCTGTGTACATGAATTTAATCGTCTCCCTCAGTGTGTCCTTCCCCTCTGGGTAGCCGTACAAACTGTCCACAAAGTCGGACACAGCAAAGTCAAAGTCACTGCCTGACACACCGTCCTCCAGGTCCATAGCGTTCTCAACAAAGCGCAGTCCCTCTCCCTGATTAACCCCGAGCATTATATCATAGTTAAGGAACTCGCCCTGCTCCATCAGGATCTCTGGGTCATCTGGGATGACGTCTCCATCAATGACAGGGCCAAAAGCCACCCGGTATCGTGCAGGTTGGATGTCCTGCTCCACCAGCTCCTTAGCACTCTTCTTCTGCAGGCAGCAGACCATGTCTACGGTGTCCAACACATTGCAGCCAACCCTCTCAGCCAGCATACGAGTGTACTTGACCGGTTGGTAGTTGACAGCCCAGCTGGACAAGGCTGAACCACTCTGAATGATTGCTCTGTGAAACAAACCTTGGGACACAGAATTCAAAACATAAAGACACAGGACAACCGTCCAGACAATAATGGTTAGTACTTTAACCTCCAAATCCTTCCTAAAATGTAATCTGATCTTCATCTAAGTCACAAATATCGATAAATACAATGTAATTAAACTATAAACAGACAAACACACTAATTAAACCTGTATAGCACTGATGAAAAAAGTAAGGGATCTCTTGGATTTAATAACTGGTTGAACCTCCTTTGGCAGTAATAACATGAAATAAGTAGCAGTGGATCAGACCTGTACAATGTCCGGGAGGATTTCTGGACCATTCTTTTTACAGAGCTGCTTCAGCTCAGATATATTCTTAGGATATCTGATTTGAACAGCTCTCCTGAGGTTATTTTACAGCAACTCTATTAGACTATGGGCTGGGCTCTGACCGGGCTGCTGCAGAAGGTGGATTTTATCTATTTGAAGTCATTCTGTAGAAGAGTCACTTCAATGTTTAAGGTCATTGTGCATCACACAACTTCTAATGAGCTTCAGCTGGTGGACGGCCATGCTGACATTATCCTGCGAGATGCCTTGATAAAGATGGGAATTGTTTTCTCCTCAATGATGACAAACTAGACAGGGCCAGATTCAGCATGAAGATAGATTAATAGCAGCGAAGAGGCCAGATAGCTGAGCTTTGCTAGTGAGAAGCTGCTCGGTTAAGCAGCCAGCAGAAGAAAAACAGGTAATAGGATGCTGGTCTCTTCTATTGTTTTCATAATGATTATAAAAAGATGAACATATTGCTTTGCTTGCTGATCATCTAGTTTGCTTCTTGCTGTGTACAGACAACAGTAAATATGCTTCAAATTAATGATCAGTTTTCAGCATTTTCCTACACTGGTTACTCACAGACATACAACTGTAGAATTGTTAATACTGGGTGTCTCACAAGCTGCATATGTAACTTACACAACTGTGTGGTGACGGGTCTGTACAGGGAGCTGAATATGCAGTAACTGATGTTTCAATATCGATACAGTAAACACGCTGCTCTATTGAATTGTTTATATGCACCTTTGTGTCTAGGGATTCTGTACCTAAAAATGACAAGTGATATGTATCAGCTCAATATACTCTGCCGAGGTTAAAGCTTGAATGACTGAAAAAAGAGTGCAGTGTCACTTTCTCCCTCCATTTATTTCAATTTTTCAGGCAGCAGCTAGCTAGACCCCTTCAAAGACATCCAGAGGTCTCTGTGCTTTTGCTGCAGCCGAACTAGGGCAACAGATACAAACCTCACAAAGGACAGCCTCACAGATAAATAAACTGTGATAAAACACAATTTCTGCCCTTCTTGTGATTCTGTCCAGCATCAATGGGAGGGCCAGGGCAATAATATGGCAAAGATAAAAGGTTCAGTTCCCACTGGGCCACCCCTGTTGAAATACACACCTTTGATTCTTGTAAGGAGCTTTGGATAAGTGATCACCAAATGCCATATTTGACCTTTTTTTTTTATTTGATTATCAGATACCAGTTTCATGTGGATACTGTATATTGTATATAACCAGTTTACACTGGTATATACTGTCATTTAAAAATAGTATTACAGAAGTTAATGAAAAAAGAAATATTAAATAGAATTTGGCCTTTTTTATGGTCCTGCTTCATTCACACAACAACCTTGTCATTTAACAATGTGTTCACTCAAGATTTTGCACCAAATCATTGATATTTTTGATATTTTTACCACACAATGAGGCAAGTAACTAAGGGTAAAAAACCGGATGCTGAAAAACTGAAAGATTCGTCTGAAACATTAATGGTAAAGACTAGTGGACACAGATGAACGCAATGACATGCAGAAACCTTCATAATGCAGTAGGCTTCTTTAAGAACACATTTTAAGAGGCAAAGCTTTTAGGTTGATTAGATTGAGTATAGGGGAACAAAAGCAGTCACTTACTTAACAAACACCCCTCTTTCCCCATGCCCATACCATAACACTTCATCTCTCTGAAAAACAATTTAGAGCTGCACATGAAACAAAGAACAAAATTCCAAAATGATTAAAAATGTTTAGAAAGCAAAACTGATATCTTCAAGACAAAACTTTTTTTTTGATTGAGAAAAAAAACTGACTCTATGTCAAGTTCATGGATTTTGACATTCCTTGCTATAGTTTCCTCTGCAGTAATTAACTACTACCTCAAATATAATAACTCAAACTGTAAATGGTACATTCTTACCCTCTGAGTGGTGGGACAGTGTTAGCAGACTGACACAGGATGCGCCGATCCCAGATCCAAACACTGTGATCCGCCCTGGGTCTCCTCCAAAGTAACCAATATTCTTACTGATCCAGCGAAGAGCTTGAATCTGGTCCAGGAGCCCATAGTTTCCTTTTGCTGCCTGGTCACCAGTACTGAGGAAGCCTGAAATATACAGGGAGGCAAAAGAGCCAGTGCTGAAATAGAGCTCTACAGTAAACTGTATGTCACAGCTTTGATGTAAAGTTGTAGTCCAATGGGGCATCTGAATGAGCTGACACTGTTTCCCCTCAGGTGCAAGTATGCCTCTGCTCTCTTCAACAGTGTCTTCCCTACTTTAGTCAGCTCTTTGTATTAGTTTCCAGGCAGTAGTGCCCCTCGGGGAGTGATCAGGGCTCTACTCATTAAATCTGAATTCTCTCTTTGCAACAGTGACTTTACAACATTAAATATGCTCTTTTACTTGTGCCTTTGTCTTTAAATGAATTTCATAAAACCACACAGCTGATGCTATTAAGCAATGTCCTTGTCTAGTCCTATCTAAACAACATGCTTTTCTGAATGGTAAACACACGGAAACCAAAAACCACGACCTTGTGACTGCTTGTGAATTCTACAGTCCTCCACACTGTATTTAAATTACTTTCCTTTCAAGAATGGCAAAGGCTGATAATCTTGTAGAGATCAGATAAATCCATCTAAAGGAAGATAAACTGTGTTTTGGGGTATAAAACAGCTTGTGCGCAACAAGGACAAGGCATGATAAGTATTTACATTGCCTTTTCTCTGAGGACAATGGTATCTACAAATCTGTATGCAAATCTAGCTATGACATGTTACCAAGATCTCATTTACTTACTGTATATTTTCTCATACTATTATACATTTTCTCTCTCTGCTTCTTTTTATAGTAATTAATGACTTTTATTACAGTTCATTTTTACAGTTTAACCAGTGCTGAATACCCATTTGAAACACCATTAAATGTTGCCACACAGAGGCATTGTCATTACCTAATATTCCAATTCTGTAGTTGAGAGTGACAACAATAACATTCCCATAACTGGCGAGCACACTGCCATCCATCATGTTCCCGGTGCCCTCCATATACGAGCCTCCATGAATGTAGACCATGACAGGTCGAGCTTCAGAGTCCCTTATATCTGCAATGTCAACACACACACACACACACACACACACACACACACACACACACACACACACACACACACACACGCTGAACAAAGAGCTGCAGAGGCAACAGTAATAAAATGGAGGTTTAATGGAACACTGTTACTAAAGCTTTATATCCCAGCTGTTCAGTATGAGGTATGGGTGAAGGCTGCTTAGAAAAGGTGTGGCGATAGGCCTGTGGTTTGAAAGCTGTAATGACATTCATAAAATGCATGGTAAGTACACTCTGACAAGGAACACATGAGTAAAATGGTCAAATATATAAAGCTTTACAGTGCACTGCCAAATATGCTTGTGCTTTGTACCATATCTTAAATTCTCTGGGTTAAAAAAAAAAGTTTAAATAAAAGAACAAATATTGTTCTAACTTGTTTTAACATATAAGTGTTATTTTATTTATGTAAGCATAAATTGAAAAATTACTCAGAGTTAAAATAAACATTGTGTTATTTTTTCTGTAGGAATAGGAAATCAGCATTGCATGATGTGGATCAGTGTGCATGGCAGTAGTGATGTAGCCCTTAGTGAAAGGACTGCAACAGTGCTTAATTCAAAGCATGAGATGCAGCAGCAGCAAACGTAATGCAATCCTAAATCAGATAACAGCATTTTTTTTATGATTCCACTCAAAATAAAAGAGCCCCCCCATGGTTCCTCAGCAACGTATAAACTATCTATTGTAAGATCCACCAAACTCTAATTAAAAGAATCCATGCATCAAGACTTTGAGCTCTTATAAATACCTTCAGATATATGAATCTCAGCATGTGAGAAACCCGACCCCCTTTTCTTGTGTTGGCTCCCTGGGATTCACATAAGAAAAAAAAAAAAGAATTCAGATTTCAGAATAGCATGCTTGACTGTGCCTGTTATTTAATATATGGTCCAGCCAAACTGACATAATCAGGAGAGCGAAGAGCCATAAATTATGGGCAAAAAGAATATTAGCCTATTTATGTACAATATGTTGCACTTTTCCCTGGAATTACTTTCTGACAATATACAGTTGACATAAAATCTATAGAGATGTATGACACAATAACACACAATTACATTATGAGTTAGAGTGGAGTTACAAAATAAGAGTTTGTTTTTGTCACATTAACACATTATTGTGCCTATCTTTGTAGAAAATGGCACATTGTGTAACTGTTTGTGTATGTGCACACACACACATTCGCATACACAGTTACCTTTAATGGTTAATTATCTTTATATTGTTATATTGATCCAGCTGCCTCCACTTTGACTGGAGTAATACATCTTGCATGGCTCATTTTATCTCTGCACAACTATATTTAGACAAACTGTCACGTCGATTCTTCAGGTGAACCACAGCAGGATAATTACTGGAGATATGAGGTATATGGTTTATTAATGAATAATTAATTATTTCTGACTTGAGAAGGGGATCAAGCAACAAAAATAAATATTAAATAGGAGGAAGCTCAAAGACACTCTTTAATTTGACAATAGCAAAAAAAAAAAAATCTACTGAAGATAAGCGAAAAAGAAAAGAGCAAATGTTTCATATCACTGAAACAAATAAAAAAGTTAAAGAATGCCCAAGGTGTGTTTTAAATGAACAGCGATGAAGTCTGAAGAATTCCAAATGTATGAAACCGACGGGTTATGCTATCTCCATTTGAAATGTGAATGCAAACGTGAAATTTAATTAACCTGGTTTGCATGCTGCAGTGAGGAGAGCTCAAGGCAGCGCTCGGACCAGGGCTTTTAAACTTACGGGCTGCACCATTTTGGACAGCTTCCTCTCTGACAGGCTGTTTATCTGTTGTTGCTATGTTACCATAGAAACATGGTTCAGCTTTGAATACTGAATGTTTTGTATCACACTGAATGCTTGTGAGGGAGGCAGTATCTCAGAGACCATATCTAACTGGTTGTACACCAGTTAGATATGGTAAGCAGAATCACTGAAATGTTTGTCAACACTAGGTATAGAGAATTACACCATTACTGTGATATTACACTGTTCTGCTAATCTACATAGCCACAGCACACACACAGACACACAGACACACACACACACACAATGTTCCCTTGCTGGTTTGTTTCACTGTTCTACTAGATATAATAGGAAAGGATCCAGGAAGCAATAGACAGTTGACTCCTTTACCCCACTAATTGGTCCCCAACAGACTCACTGTCTGAATAAAGCAGAAATTCAGAGAAATATAAAGAAACTGTAATTTTTAACAAAGCTGGCACTGCTACCTTTACCAGTGTGTTTGTGGAGCCAATTTTTTTCAGGATTCCCTTTGATGCTCTGTTGTGACATCCAAATATGTGGCTCATCATTTTAAAAGCTGAAACTTATTGCTTAGTTTAGGTGAACCAATACTTGGGAAACACCTTAACTCAGCAGTATTTACTGGATGTCTAATAGAGAACAAACAAAAACACCCCCCCGGTACATTTATGTTTATTTATGCTCCTCTAGGTGTGTCTATAAGCATTCAGTGGCATTAGGGCAATGTCTTCAGCTGCCTACTAACTACTAAAACAGGAATAATGTCCTGGTTATCAATGGGAACATGATTATTTCAAATGGAATATGACTACAACATGTCAGTCAACATGGCATTGCTTTTGGATGGTAAATCAGCCCTTGCTGTTGATATGAGAAGTGATCATACACATGCTTTATGATGATCACAGGACAATGTCAGGGCCATGATAACAGTGATCAATAGACATAGAAAGTGATTGCTGTCAATTTTACCACACCAACTCACCGTCCTCTGTCGGAGCGTAGATGTTTAGATATAAACAGTCCTCGCTCTGATCCTGAATGTATGTGGCTACTGTGTCCAGGTTGTAGGTGAACCATATGGGCATCATGATCTCCGGCACGTTGTTGTGGATGTTCTGAGGGCACACGGGCATGAAGTGGGTAGCATTTTTGATACCTGACCAAGAGGAGGGCTGCTCAGGGGGCATGAAGCGCTTCTCTCCCACAGGTGGAGCGGCATATGGGACCCCTAGATACTGATCAACAGGCCTGAGCACCTCGCTGGGCACGGGAACCCTGAGACCTCGTAGTTTCCCAAACTGGGTGGTGACAGTCGGGTAGAATTTCTGGCTTGTTGCCTTAGTAAATGACCAGCAGGAACATAATATCCACCAAAGAAGAGCACAGTGGGTGATGGTTACAGTCCCTTGCTGATGTAGCAGGTGTGCAGGCAACAGATGGTCTCTAAATGTAGCCAGCCACATGGTCTGGGCAAGACGGTGCCCTGTGCACAACACAAATACACACTGTAGTGTCTGCTCAGTGCTGCTGCACGAACCCTGTCAAACAGACATCACTCACTGTGGCTCTGACTCTGATGGTTACCAAATCCAAATACACCTCAGCCAGGTATGTACTGCCCCCACTTCCACTTTTCATTGCAGTGCACATAGATCTGAAAGCAAAATGATTAGAAAAATTAGATAAGAAAACATAAAATTTTAGACTAACTCTGCATAAAACACACAGTCTTCCTCTTGTATTCTGGGGCTCTAAATATGCATTGATATAAAAGCTTAATATCAGTGAGCCATATTCACTGTAACACCTCAGTGCTAATAACATTTTGTGACAAATTGCTGTCTTTAAAAAACAAATTTATGCTGTAACATTTACAAATCACTGAATACTGATCTGTATGAATCAGTGGAGGAGGAAATGGGAGGAATCTAAAACCCCATCTGCTGTGATGTTGAAGTGATGCTGAGAAAGCATCTCAGGATAAAAGGTGTTAAGCACCTCTTTTCTTATGTAAAGGAACCAAGGTGAACAGCAATGAAAGACAAATCTTTAATATTTATTGATGCAAGATTTTTAAAAAAAGTGCTCACTGGGAACAAAATATCTGAATTTCAGGATTTAATGTGTTTAAAAAACACCAAATATCCCAAATCATGACTGGGAAACACTTGTATCTTTTGTGTCTTACTTCTAGGCAGTGCTGCCTGATGCTGCCTTGAAGATGTATAGTGGAAGTGTTAAACATTCCCATAGCAAACATGTCTTGTGGGACCACACTAGCACCAAACCCTCCTTGTAAAGCAGAGTAATTGCAGGTTAATTGAAAGACCTGAGGAAGGCTCACTGGCAACAATAGGCCATTTGAGTGCAATATCAGAGGAAAAAGGTCCTTTGACACTTCTTTTTTTGGAATTTGATTTGTTGTTGTGTACATCTGCTGAAACCCATGTTTTTTTTACTTCTTTCAGCACATAAATTGTCCTTGATGGAAAAGGTAAGATATTTTATTTAGCTTTTATGATCTCAGGAAATCATCCATTTTTCACATAATTAAGAAATACTGTACTACTGCCTATTCACAAAACAGACATAAGATTCTTTTCAGCCCACTTTATTTTAATTTCAAAGTGGAACATTTTCTTGATCTTGGATTTCTTAGTTATTCTAGTGATGGACTGTTTTATGCAAAGACACAAACATTTGCATTACATACACCTAATTTGAACCCAGCTGAAGTCACCAGCGCTTCTGTGCAATGACATGTGATAACTACAGTCAGAAAAAAAAAGGTATTAGCATTGGCAACCAGGAAATTGCAAACAATGCCAATGCTTTTTCTTGCAACTGTAGTTAATTAGATTTGCATACTGTATGTCAAATAAGGTATCAAATGTAAGCTTACCCACAGAGAGCTACAGAGAATACAGTCTGGTGTGTGTCTTCAAATTAACTACTCTGTAATGCAAAAATGCATCTGTCTTATCTAGGACAGCAGTAAGCATAATATGCTGAACACAAGGTTCTCACTGGTTCGTCAATGAACAAAGCAAAAACAAGCTTGTTAACCTAATCAAAGATATTGACAAGTATTGCCTCAAGCGTTGTGAAAGACTGCAGCTAAAGGCGCTCTTTCAATCTGATGTCTCTATAGGGAACATATTCTGCCTTGGACTATGAGAAACTAATTAGCCATAGGTGGTGTATTAGCTTTTTGTTTTCCCTGAAACATTGTGTTCACACTAGCAGGAACATAAATACAAATAAAGGTGTCTCATTTTCTCTATTACAGATACAATTCAATGATTACAGTTTGCCTCTTTTAAAATGATGAAATCAGCCAGCAGTAATAGAGGTTCATTTGAGAAGTATTGTATGGCCTGGGACGACTTAGTCTCTATTAATTAACATGTATGAATGTTTTATCTGTAAATGTGACAGTAATGCACAGCTGTCATGACATTAAAATGCAAAAGACAGAAAACCAGATTTTTGTAGATTGGGACACATCTTCTGGTTTGTAACTGACATTGAAAATACATAATTTAGATTCCATTTTTGGGTGAAAATCCTTTCACAAAACCTGCTGTGAAATGGTTTTTACTTAACAACTTAGCAGTAACAGGCTGTACCACGGCACTGCCAATCAGACTTGGTTAGTTGTCTGTAGCTTTGGAGGTAGCCCTGGCAGCAGGATAATAAGACACTGCTGGGGCTGCTGTAGATCAATGGAATAATATGAATTCCTAAAATGAACCACATTTTCTATTAAATTACGCATGCATGCATGATATTAGCATAAAAAGCTTAGCATATGTTTGCTGTTTGACATTAAATCAAACATATAATTTAATTCACTGGAACATAGCTTTTTAGTGGTTGTACCTGATATACAGTACTTGTTTTACTGATTGTACTGCAGGCTATCAAAGCAGCAGAATACTGCCTTGAACTGTGCTGCAGAGTATTCTTTTTCCAACTTATGGACTGCTATTGGACAGATGTGGATAAAGACTTTAAGTTGTAGCATACATTAAATGGGCCATATAATACAAGTGAGATATCAATTATATTTGATACATTGCATGTTTTGTGGCAATTAAGACTGGCAACGTTCCCAGCAACAGGAAAGAAAAAAAACATGGGTAAAATATTTCTTGCCAATTAAATGCCTACAATAACCCAGTAGCTGAGTGATACTTTCAAAAATCTAAATGTTTCGTTATTCTACACCAGACCTGGGTCTCCTGGGTTTCCCAAATACTTTAATTTCCATTTGGCTGACTGGATCCTTGTTCCAGACCTATTAGAATGATTGCTATAGCCATTTTTCACTTCCACCATTACTATCACCTACATCATTGACAGACACACAATTCAACACCAATTCACCACTAATAAAAATCTCTGGGACATCATAATCGATTACGTTCGGATGGCCTGGGGGCCAGTGACAGGAAAGCATCTGAGAAGGAGTCTAGCGTGTCAGACATCAGTACTAGGCTCCTAATGTCCTTGTAATTCGACTGGTGTGGCTCAAACCCGATTTTGTGGATACCTCAAATACCCCTAATTTAGCAGAACAATAAAGGGGAGATGAGACTGATGCAGAGACGCCTACCTCATAGAAAACACAGAGGTAGCACTCAACATAATGATCAGGGTTTTATAAATGAATGCAAGATTCTAGAGCCACAGAGAAACCCAAGCCACAGCCCAGACAACATCGACAAACTGCTGTAGTGTGTGTGCGATGCCTCACGTTGTGACTGGGAAGCTTGTTTAATCTAGGTCTAGGACGGTGTAATATTGGAGAAAACTGGAAAACATCGGCGAGCCAGCAAATGCTCCAACATTTTCTATCGTTGAGCAGTCACATTAAATGCAACGACTATCGGTGTCCGTCAAAAAACAGAATCATTAGGTTAACTCACCTGCGTTTACAGAAGCTGATAAGCGCTCCATCTCCAGATTTCCTCCATACCATGCCCGTCAGTCTCGCTATAAAGCAGTGAGGCTGTGTGTGAAAAAATTCAGTATAAATGTTGTTTCAGTATCAACACAGAGATCTTTACTCTTATCTCCTGCTTTGCACAGTCTGTGTGCTTTTGCGCATTCACGACGCCAAGGTCAGGATCGCCAACGGTTTTAATGGAGCGCCCACCATAGAGATCTCTCTACGGCGCCCACTGCCAGCGCGTTACTAGGCAACCGCCGGGATACGCCAGTGCATCACTCTCCAACAACCGAGAAAATCCCAATTTAGAAACCATTAAATAATCACCGTAACCTCGGACAGCGACTCTCACACGTTTTTTGCTCGGACAAAACCAGTCTACCTTTGTAAACATGTGTTCAGGCCAGCATGGAGAGAAGATGTGCACTTACAGGAGGCTATGGGTTCAGGCTTTTTAGTAAATTGTGGCAACCATGGTAAAATTCGGTATGATAAGAAAACTGAAAACCATCCCTGCTTTGAGATATATTTTAAATATTATCCCTAATCAATTGATCTCCTTCAAGCAAAGTCTAAACAATACGTATTTACAAAACATACCTATGTTTTGGGAACTGTAGGGGGGAAAGCAAGCAAACAAACAAACAAACAAAAAGTAGGGCTAAAGACCCTTGCAATGACAGCCTTTACATATCAGGCCCATACTTGTTTAACAAGCAAATATGATGGGAAGTGCAACTGCTGAGGGACAAATTGGCAGGGAATTAATCCAGGACAGGAACGTGAACATTGCTTCTTTCTATAGCTTATAAAGTAGTGTTGAAAACCATTGGAATTATTTTTCCATGTATGTTTATTCTAAGTATTCATCTGGGGATTTGAGACCATTTGGCTATCATATGAGTCTATGAGGCATACACAGACAGCTGCTGACAGAGCAAACGTTTTCCCCACATCTTTAATGCTGAGTGACCACTGCTGTAATGCTATGATCCGTGCTTGTACACAGTAGAGGAATTTGTGAAGAGAAATACAAGTGATGTTTGTTTCAAGCAAATATCAAAGCAAGGAAAGTGTTTTACAGAAAACATTTATTTACATTTATTGGTGCCCAAGCAGGGCACAGTCCCTGTAGTCTTTCAGAGGGGCTGCCAGTATGAAACTAAGCTAATGTCCAAGAGTACTCCATCTCAATCAACTTCGTACAGTAAGCTACATCACCCTAAACGCTACACAGAAAGTGTGCACTCAAAACAAAAACGCATGGCTTAAAACTGGAAGTCAACAGCTTCATTGCAAAACAAAGGCATCCACGCCACGTAATAAAACACGCCCGAGCAAATGCACTCTGGGTTATTTACAGTCCCTGTTTTTATATATTGTGGCACTGGGAGGGCAGTGAGAGACTTGGTATGATGCCCCATAATGCCTGGGGCGGGGTGTATATAGTTCAATGTTGTTCAGAGTGTGTGTTCTGTTGCTGTGTGGTTGCACTTCTGTGTGGAAAAAATGTGAAAAACACAAGTTCCTGCCTCCTGACCCTTCTTAACCCAGCAAATACTACATTGGTGTCAGATGTGTGTTCTCTGAGGAAAATGACATCACTCTGGGAGCTCGATAAATTCATTGCCCAGCTGGAAGATGAGGTAACACTATAACTTAGAGCCTGACAGCTGCTTTGAGCTTGCTAGCTACTCTGCTCCTAGCAAGAGCCCGCCAAAACAGAGCCGCTGATGGAGCCAGCACTCCCCTGCCGACAGACTGGCTGAGCTGTGCCACATCAACGTCACCCCCACTTTGTTGAGACCCAGTGGCAGCAAACTGTTTGGCTCACCTAGCACCGCAGACAGCTCTACTGGTAGTGAGGGTTGCAGGACTCCCACCCTGGCATCCTTCCAGTGCTAGGAGTCTGGACATGGACTGTGAACCTACCATGCTAGGATAGGGGAAGGGAATGTGGCAGTTCAAGGTGATGCCTCTTAGCCTCTGCAATGTCCCAGTAACTACTGAATGCCTCATGGAGCGGGTCCTGACTGACATTCCCTGGAGCTGCTGTGTGGTCTACTTGGATGACCTCCATGTCCATGCTGCGGACTTTGAGGGCATCCTGGCCAACCTGAGAGACATCTTCCATGCCATTAGCCAAACTGGGCCCTGACTGCATCCCTACTCCAGTGCAAGACAGCTTTCTAAATCCACGTCATCAGTGCAGCAGGTGTGGCCACTGACCCAGCAAAAGAGCTAGCAGTGAGGGGCTAGGCTATCTCTGGCAATGTCAGGCAGCTGCAGAGCCTCCTGGGGCTGACTTCCTACTACTGATGGTTCATCACCTGATGACGACGACTGGAGCCTTGCTGACCCATAGCAGCTCCGGTGCGACCGGAGCCAATACCCTGTACTCATCCGGGTCCAGGTTTGAGTGGGCTGGGAGCCAGCTAGCAGTCTCTGCTCTGTATGCAGAGATGAAAGCCCTCTACTGTACTTGCCCTGGACCAGCCTAGTTGACCCGGCTAGCCATGGATTATTAAGTGGCCAGGGACGTGTGCCATCCCTGACTACAATGCCACCACAACTGCAGAGCGCCTAGTCCACGAGCTGTTCTACTGGTTTGGTGTGCCTGAGGGGCTGTGCTGCAACCAGGGCATAACTTTGAGTCTGAGGTGTTTGGCAAGGTCTGTCAGCGGCTGGGCATCAGGAAGATGAGTTTGGACTATTTTTTCCACCTTTGGGAACCGGACAGGCCCTCACAAATGTAGGGATTTGTCAGAAGTGGGCCTATGATGTCCACTGCAAAGGAGAGGACCTGCGCCCCTGATGGAGTGGTGGGTGTACAGTCCCAAGTGGAAGAAAGGACTGTCCCCAAAGCTAGCTAGAGTGGGCTGGACCCTGCACTGTGCTGAAAAAACTGACAGATGTGATGTATAGGGTGATAATGATAAAGCAGGAACAGGGCAGTGGGACACTGGGAGCCAGCCATAGGCCTCTGACCCCTCTCCACTAACCTGCCAGGAGCCACCACAGCAACCCCAGCACCAGTGCAGGCTCCCCCAACTCCTGCGAGATGTTGTTACAACTTTGTGGGCATTGGAGGAGGAGAGAGAGACTTGGTGGGATGCCCCATAATGCCCGGGATGGCTTTTAGTGGTAATTAGTTTAGGGGGGTCTTTGGCGGGGTTGTTGAGAGAGTGTGTTCTGTTGCTGTTAACCCAGCAAATGCAAATCAGTCAATCTATCTATCTATCTATCTATCTATAAAAAAATGGATAGATGGATAGTATTTACCTATTTATACTTTTTTAGGTTGAGTCCAAAAATAATTCATTTAAAACACAGACACATGTATGGCTAATCAAAATATAAAGAAAGGTCCAAATTTCAGAACCAGCTATCCCTCTTGCACCAGTCTTGGAGTAAGGTTCTGATTCTTTTCAGCTTCTCTCTGCTGGAGTTTTGTTGATTTTCAGTTTGAAAATTCTGCCAAAGTGTTTCGCTGGATTCAAGTCTATAGGGACATACTGTAGGCAACTTGCCCAGGACATAGTTTTCACTGAGCTGAGTGAATTTTGCAGTATGTTTTGGATCATTGTCATGTTGGAAAATTCCTCTCCTGCCAAGGTTCTTGAGACTGGGAATCGTCTCTTTTTTCAGTATTTGTGTATATAAACTAGCATTCACAATCAATCAATCAGTCAATCAATGAATCACACTTTTTATTTTGGACACATTGTTATTCAGCTGGTCTTCAGCTTCTGATGTTCTCATACCCTCTCCCATTGTTATGAAGTTGCACATTGTGGTTTCTCACTTGCTCACCCTTAGCATCTGGAGTCATGTTGTATTAGACACAGCCCTAAGACCAAAAGCGAGAAAGCTAGTGTTCACATTTTATAACCTTGTTCATGGAATTAGCCTTTTGCTGCAGTGAGGTTGCACTTTGCATCCCATTTTTCTCAGTGTAGTCTGTCTAATCTATCTTGTTTTTAATGATATAATTAGACATAAGTTTAAATGCCCCATGCATGTAACATAAAACATATTGTAAGATGGTGCACTTTTGAATAATATAAAATTTGTGTGATATTGCACAGTGCAATTGTACAAGTTATCATAAATGCACTGGGAATTAATGTAAGCAAGTTAGTTGATGCATTCCAGGTTACATGTGGTTGAGTGATATGGATTCATAGATACTATGTACTAGGATGGGTATTTTTGTTCAGTACATTCAACCAGCAATACCCTTGTGGCATATAAATAGTTGAGTGAGTTTATTTTTAAAGGAAGACATTTAATTAAAGACAGCTTCCCAGATATTTGCAGTCATGGACTATTTCTAAACATGAAGTGTGGGCTGAATCAGCTTGATTAGGGGCAAAGATAAGCAGCTTCCATGGCCAGGGGTGTGCCAGGATATCTGTAATCTTTTAGTAAGGAAAAAGAATATTTTTCATGTGTTTTTTATAATGAAAAGATTCACATCTAGTACTGAACTGACATGAAATGACCATGTTGGCAATTCTACTCAGAACTCTCCTGCTATGATGCTGCAGGTATCAAAAGACAAATATAAATTCAAGTCAATCTGCCAGGCACATATATTTTATGTCTGTATATGTACAGTATTTGCCTTGTACCAAAAATAAATGTGTTTATAGGGATCATCCTGATAGGCCCCCACCTTCTCTTAATGGTCCAACTGGCAAAACACCATAAATCTTAACCTGTCCTAGTGGGCCCACATGTTGTCGACTAAGTGTTCAAGGTAAGCTTAATGGTTGCAGGTCAGGGCCACCAGACACTCATTCTAGTCTTTTTAATAGGGGCCAGTATTGTCTTATTTTCTTATATAAATTTGTCATTGATTGAGATCTTTATGTTGCACTTTTCATTTACTGTATTTTATGTTATATTATTATTAGGTTGCATCAATATATGCAATCATTTATGTTAATTAATCAAACTAAAATATCTCTCTGTTCCCTGAATACAACATTAGATTAGATGAGATGAGGTGAGATGAGATGAGATGAGATGAGATGAGATGAGATGAGATTAGATTAGATTAGATTAGATTAAATTAAACTTTAATGAACCCTTGGAAGAAAGTGGGTCATGGCAGTTGTAGAGAAAATGACAGCCTATACTGAAGAGAAACAAAAACATCTCCTGAAGATACCACAGCAAAGTAACACAACATAATACATTAATATGTGGCTATGGTGAATAGTTTACTGAATATTGAATTTACTGCCAATCATATAACAAACAATAAATGCAATCTTTCATTGGAAGGGATGTTTCCAGTTTATAGATTTACAGCACAAATGCAATGTGTGCAAAATATGCACCCTTACTGGAGACAAAGTAAGAACATCGAAATTAGTCAAATTATGCAAATGTATAATGTAAATATATATATATAAAACAGAGACTGTCTGGACTCGTGCTATCTTGATTATGCGATTAGGGTTACTTAGACACAAATAGAGAGACAAATAAACCCTGAACAGCAGCAGGCATTAATTCTAATTTGAGGCTGCATGCTGATACATATCTGGAAGGTTCTCTTTTTTTGTTTTGCAACAGTGGAGTGTGAAAAGAAAGCCAGATAGATAGATAGACAGCTAGATAGGCAGATACTCAGGCTCATATTACTTATTCATGTTATTGCATTTTTTAAAAATCCCATGGGAGAGTTGTTGCAGCAGAATGTGCCTGTGGGAGTCCATGTGTGTCTGTGTGTGGGTGTTAACACAACACAATCTGCCCATATTTACCAGGCGAGTCATCAGTGATCACACCATACTGTACGCCATCTGAGACCAACACTCACACGGTAACACTCGCTTTGGACAGCTGTATTGCTAGCAAGAACACATGAATTATACAACTAAGCTAGAAAAGTATCTAAATCTATCCAGCAACCCAAACACCATGGGATATTTATCAAGAGTATAGTGTAAGTGATGGTTTATTGTTGCCAATCTCTCTCTCTAGGTCACTAATAAAGCTTTTAATTACAATTTGTAAATCTTTGTAATGTGGCATCTAATGTCCTCCAACAACAATTTTGTAGCCCATTAAATCCCTGGATTGTACTTATGTTCTTACAAAGTCTGCACACGCATTCATTATGCAAGCACACAAACCAAGGAAGCCATTTAATGCAAACCATTAGCACTACACAGGAAATGAACCTTGTGACAGCACTGCAGCATAATGCAAGAGGTGCTGAGCAGATCCTAAACTACAGTACAGGACCTCACAAGCTCAGCAATGTCATGATGTCTACACAGCAGACACTTGTGGGTTCTGTAATGCAATAATATTTTAAAGCACACACAGACACAATCACTCACATAGTAAACATATACAAACGGAGCCAAATCCTGCACCTTATTAATATGGCTTAGCTTCCACAATGACATCATCTCAGGTGTGCGCACACACACACACACACACACACACACACACACACAGAAAGAGGGGGAGAGGGAGAGAGAGATGCACCTTAAGACAAGACTTCAGTTACATAACAAAATTACCACTAAAGAGTTACCTTTAAAATCCTGCACTTATTTACTCTCCTTAAAGTATGCTCTGTGCTCCCTTTTCACCAGGACTGGAGATGCAGAGACAGAGTGCCAGGTAAAACAAAACCAAAAAAAAAACAAACAAAAAAAAAAACAGGAATGACTTGGGGTATCACTTTATGGATTTAAACAGAGCTTCTTTTCAGCTAATTATCACAATAATAACCTCTTTCTCCACAGCCCAATATCTCACTAAAAAGCATACTGGAACCATCTTTAGAAGAATAAATCAGTATTTGCCACAGTCAAGTTTAGGATATTAAGATACAGGTAAACAGATGTAAGAAATTGTTTCTCTTGGTAGGCTATATTTGCTCTCTCCGCTGTGATTTAGCAACCAGTGCATATTGTTCATTGTACGTATCTAGCAATAAAACATGTATAGCTTATTAAATAAGCAATACTCTGTACCAACCATTATGTAGGCTGTGGACAGTGCAGGGTTTTGAGAGACTGATGGCAACCGACAGAATACCCTTCAAAACATGACTCAGGGAAAATAAGTACCAGTACTTTTAGATCGCTTCCGCTTTCCCGTGATGCACTGCGCGGTTGTAATGTGTGGTAGTTATGATTAATATACATCATGACATTTAGTATATCACTTCATGAATATGCATATTTGCCGGGATGTTGCGAGTATCTGTAATCTAAGCGACGCGCATTTTGAGCATTAAACGCAGGCTAGCAGTATAGTCCAAGTGGAGATCCGTAAGGCAACAACAAATGGCGTGACTCGCGGGAGAGTAAACGTTACAATAGTACACAAACAACACCCAGACGGGACTGAATTTCGTTAAATTCATTAGCGTTAATTCCTCTATGGAACATGGAGAGACATAACTTTGGAAACGAGAAGCTTATAGTACCCGCTGATTTCATCTCATCAGCGGTTTCAAGTACGTAATTTCTTTTTTCCGCACTTTTGGCGACTTGAATCAAAGCAAGTTACTTTTAGAGTTAGTTGACAGCTAAAGTTACCCTACACTGTAACCTAACTTAGCACACTATTAACCTAAAGTAGCTAGTGTTGTCAGCTCTTGTGTTACCTAATAATTACCAAGATAAGGAGGCTGGGGCTGGAAATGGTCATTTTGGTAAATTTATTGAATGGTTAGTGTGAAATGGCTTAACTTTGGGAACATGTGTCATAGCTAACGTTACACAGTGCATGCCCATGTAAACATAAACATAAATTTTATGTTATGCAGGAAAGGTCCAGGGCGATCTGGTACCGCCATCGCATTTCTTACCCAGTGGTCAGCCTGCTGGAGAGCACAGAGGAGTCAAGATGCCAGGGACACCGCCACCCATTTCCTGGATAAACCCAAGCCAAACTTCGGTGCCAACAGGGGATCCCAGTCTTGCCAATCCGTGGCTCGCTGTCTCTCAGGCACAACAGAAAGTCTTGGAGCTGAGAAAGGAAAATCAGAGGCTCATGATGTTACAAGGGGACAGCATAGAAGGAAGAATCCCCATGGATCGCTCTTCAGAACATATGACAAGGTCAAACATAGTGTGTTTTTATTGTCAAAAACACCATGATTGTATGTCATTTGGGTGACATATTGGGTACATGAATAGCTCCTCTTCCCCAAATACAGATCTGTAGAAAGAAGTGAGCACTGGTACAGATGGAAGTCAGAGTGGTGTTTGAAGGCAGAGAAGCACAAGGCTGAGGCTGAGAGGTTGAAGGGGCAAGTGGAGGCACTGAAGGAGAGTGCAGGGAGACACCGAGAAGAGATGAGAGACAAAGACGGCACCCTGAGCAGGTAGGAGATATGATAGTTATAATGCAGTTGAATCATTTTACAGTTTGGTCTGACATTCTCTGCATAACTAAACATTTCACAGATTTGCGATGAATCATTTGGAGCAAGCTTAACATGGTGTAACCTTTGTATGACAGACAGAGCCATGAGTTGGAAGCAATGCGGGAAGAGCTATTTAAGGCTAAGACTGAACTCAGCCAACTCAGAGAGGAGCTCATTCACAGCAGCGCACAGAAGGAGAAACTATGTTCACAGGTAATGCTGTTTAGTGACAAAACACTTCAGTCTGACAATGAAGCAGACAAAGCTACTGGTGCCTTGTAACTCATTTAGGATGTTTGCAGTATAATGTTTTTTTGTACTGTCTTGTAGTCTCAATAATAGCTTCTACTGTTCATTTCACATATGAATACTCTTCCATGTTTGACATTTCTATTTCTTACAGCTTGAAAGGCTAAAGAGTGAGTCTGGTGAGGAAATTGCAAAGCTGAGGAGAGATGTAGAGAGGAGCAAAGAGGAAGCCCGGGACATGGCTCTGAAGGTTGAAATGGGCAGGTTACAAGCTGAAGTGGAGGCCAAACAGTTGTCAGAGCAACTGGAGGAAATGGAGAGAAAGCAGGAGGTGGAGGTGAGTGTGAAAGGAAATGTAAGCCATTTGGGTGACTTCTTTCAGCACAAGCCCCTGTATTTCCAAATCATGCCAACAGGCATCTGCTCAGCTGAAGTATCTCTCAGTCAAACACTGAGCGTGTATTATAGTACTTTTCTATAACTAACCCTTTACTTTGACTTTCTTCAGGAGGGAAAGATGTGATCCTTGGGGATCAAGAAGGTATTGCATCATTATTTGTATGTGTCTTAAAATGACCATTGTTTGGCTCTCCTCACTTTCAGCTGCAGCAGTTGAATGCTTCGCACTGTGCAGAACTGGGAGCAGCAAGAAAAGTAAAAAATGAGCTACAGGCCAAACTTCAATCAATGACCTCAGAAGTTGTGCAACTAAAAGGCACTTTGATGGAAGTCTCGACTGAGAGAGATGGGCTGAAAGAACATTTAAGGTGCCACATTCACATTAAGACTGAGGAAAACTAAACATTTACAGGACTTGGTAATCTCAACTTTGTAATCAGATTTTTTCTTTTTATTTCTGGGGTGTTTGTTTTTCAGCCAACTGGGACAAGCTTTTGAGAGACAGACTGTAACACTGCAGAGCCTCAGAAATTACATCGGCCAGCTTGCCCCAGAGAAAGGAGAGAAGGAACGATTAAATGAGGCTGTTGAGGTGAAGATAGTCTAAATAGTATTGATTGCAAGCACCCACTGTTAAGTAATTGCATGGGAAGGCACATAAATGTTATTTATAGTAGATTAAAAGAAGAATGGTGGAGCGAATGAGTTTTTAATTTACATGGCTATTATAATAATTGACCCCAGTTTGTCTGCATTTTGTAGAAGCTGGCCAAAGAGAAAGCAGCTCTTCAGAAGACTGCAGAGCTTTTGACAGTCAGGCTTAACTCTGTGAATGAGATACTCACCCTTCAAGAAGAGAAAATGGTGAAGGTGGGTGCTTGTTATTCACATAATTCATTAATGCATAATACAAGCCTAACTAATAGACCACTGGTGTGTGAATGAACCTGATGGATCTCAAAGACATTCATACAAACCATTATTCAAAGCAAACGGCATGGAGCAGCTCCACACAGGGCAGCAAAGCCCGGCTGGAGTAATGCAAGGTCCAAGTGAGCTGGAGTGAGCCTTTGTTAGAAAACAGCTGTGTATAGTCCATGGTATTCACACAGAGGTAATGGGTGTTGATGACACTCTTATTGTGTGTCCGGCACAAAACCAGAAGAATACAAACATTTGATGGTGAAAAGAAACTGTCTTTTTATGAAGATGCCAATGAAAATATCTAACTGGAGACATGACGAGTTTTGAGAATTTCTGTCTTTAGGAGCCGGCTCCAGAATCATCAGACAAATTTCAGATCAAATTACAAACTGGCTACGTGAGTGCCCCATGGCCAACCTCCTGTGCGCTTTACCCATATATGTGGGTAGTAAGGAAAAAATATTTAAAGTTTTAGTGTGCTTTGGAAAACATTAAGGATTATTTAGATGCAGTAATTATCCATGCTCATACAGTATGGAGAATTTGCTGAAGTTGTGTTTGTGTGTGTGTTTTTCAATAGACCTCAGCAGACCCACTTGTGAAGAATGGTTCTGAAGGCCTTCAAGTACTTCAGCTCTGGAGAGAGAAAGTGTTCAAGTTATGTGTCCAGCTTCGCTCAAAGGACATTGAACTAAAAGGAGAAAAGGATCAGCTCCTTGCAAAAGTATGAAAAGAGTCTTGTGTTAGTATACCACAGTCCAGTCATGTCCAGAGTGGTACTGTATTGCTTTGTGTTCCAGGTCAGATTTATGGAGCAGCAGCTTCAGCAGCAGCAGCACCAGGCTAATGTCCTCCAGCACAGTCTAGATGACAGGATAGCTGAGCTGGACCTGGAGAGAGTCGAAAAGGAGGTTAGTACCAGAGCCAGAGATGTGATTTACGTGGCTTTCTGAAATTTTGATGATGCACAATAAAGTTGGGGCTGTTTAGGAAAGTGATAAATGTTGTTCATTTTTACCACAGCACAAGATGCTGACTATATGAAAACCTTCTAGAAGCTTTTGAGATTTTAATAACACCAGCTAGGCTGAAAACTGAGCATCACAGTAGATTTACAGTATATAAGGTACTCTATTAATATATGGATGTGTGTTTTTCTTTACAGTCAGTGAAACAGGACTTGGCCCAGGCTCACAAGGAAAACTCACAGTTGAAGTCACAGTACCAGGAAGCAGAAGCTGGGCTTAAAATCCTGACAGAGGCAGTGCATAGGTAAAACTAATCAGAGCAATAGAAGGAAAAGGCAATGTTGTTGCTGTCGGTGTTGAAAGTTTCATCACAGATGATGCTCACACTGTTTTGCTGCGCCCTGCAGGTTCAGTCTGGCATTTGAAAACAAGGTGGCAGAAGGGGACGCAGCTCAATCAAGGCTCAACACTCTTACCCAGAGGCTAACCTTCGCTAAAAGACGAGTGGACACGATCCAGGGTGCAGTGATACTGGAAGCTGATGGAATAATTCCAGTACTTCAGTTTTAGGTATATATGGCAAGGAGGTAAATAATATACGGCAGTGTTTTTGCTTCACAGGTTTGTTTATGAGGAGGGCGGCCTTGCAGAAAGTTCAGCAAGCCAGTAAACAGGCACAACAGGGTGCAGACAGGTGCAGTATAATGTTTATTTATTTATTTATTTTTACATATAAACGATGAATGCACCCTTGTATATGTTTGTATATACATATATTTCAGTTTATTGATCACAGTCATTTACTCCATAATGGCAAGAGTAATGCCAGCAGCACATTGCACTTATTCTGGAAACCAAAGTTGTGTTTTAAAAGTGCTTATATATTTGGATAAACAGCTTCCAAATCTAAGATATTAAAAGTCTAGCATAATTTTTACTATAGTATTTTTAAAAATGTATTCAATATTTTCATATTTATTATAGATGAAGAAACAACAGATGCTTTTACTTAAGTGATTAAATCAGTCACCACTGATTATATTTGGAGTTGATGGATTAAACAAATACTTAAAATCAATCAAGCCTTTCAGTACCAATTCAAATAAGTAGCCTAATTCAGAGGATTGTTATTATAAGCTTAATGTCAAAGTACAGACATAAAAATACAATCTCTTTCAGGTTTGTTGGGCTTGGTAGAATAATAATAGGATTGAAATCAATATGCAATATTAATAAAAATATTTTTGGTGCCTACTATGACTACGTATGTCATCCAATATGACAGTTGAGTGCAAAGTCAGTTTTTTGTCTACATGTAAAAAACAGTCACTTTCTGTCTGTTTAGAGTTTGGCTTGCTTTGTCTTACACTATGATGTTGTTTCTCAACTGCTCTGCTTGACTTTTTGTTTATTTATTGGCTTTGCTGCCTTGTCTATGTTGCCCGTCAGCATCACAGACCTCCAGACAGAGCTTAGTTTGGTGAGTGAAGAGAGAGACAAGCTCACACAGGAGCTGAAAAGAACCCCGGAGCTCATCAAGAAAGCTCTGGCGGATCTGAAAGAACAGTGTAAGCCCCCTCACAGCTCATAACTTAGTGTAATACGTTATCTGTTGATCTGTTTGGTAGCATACTGTAGGCGTCTCAGTTCACTTTGTATATCCTGCTCAGATGAATGCAAACTGAGGCAGCAGCAGCAGGAGCTGGAGCAGAGATCGGAGAAGGTTCGGCTGGCTGTGGCTGGCAGAGAGGAAGCAGAGCAGAGCCTGCAGCAGGTCCAGGCCCAGCTGGAGGAGAGCAAGGTCACCCTGGAAACACTCCACTCTGAGCTGAGCATCCAGCAGGAGCACAGTGGGCGGGGTGAGGCTGTGGCTAGCGTCAGCTTCTTCTTGACTTGTTGAGTGAAAGCATACTGAGCGGTCCTGCTCTTTTTCCAGAAATGTCCCTCATCACAGTCTCCTTATAGTCATACCTTGGATCATTCTGCCTCTCCTGTCAGCTTGGTAGCTGCACTGGAACAGTTGGGGATCAAGTGACATGCTCAAGGGCACCTTGACTAGTTGTTCAGGGCGAGGTACTCAGTTTCCCAGTTGGGTTTTCAAGGATTCTGCCTGGCAATCTAGCAGATATATTAGCCTGCATTTGGAGTTGTTTTGATGAACATATATCCCATATCTCCTCTCACTTACACTTTTGAACTCCTCCAACTCCTCCTAAGGGAATATACAGTATCTGGCTCTTTAGCTGCAAAATATGCCACTATTTTCACCAGCTAGTTCCAGGACATTTAGTATATAGCCTGGGTTTTAGAGCTTTTATATTGAAAATGGCCGTCTGCTTTGGCTGAAAACAACACTATGAGAGCGGTAAGAGTGAACCAAACCAGTAAAGTTGCAGGCCAGACAACATAAATGACAATCTTAAAATTGCCATAAAGCTCCATAACTCCAAAGATGGGGATAATATTTTTTGTGGGTTTGTCACTATAAGCAGCTACTTTTATCTACAGTGGTGTGAAAAAGTATTTGCCCCCTTACTGATTTCTTCTCTTTTTGCATGTTTGTCACCCTCATGCAGTTTTTAAATGAAGGTTTTTATTATTAAGGGAAAACAAAATCCAAAACTATATAGCCCTGTGTGAACAAGTGTTTGCCCCCCTGTCAAAACACTGGTTTATCGCACCTGAGTTCAATTTCTCTAGCCACACCCAGGCCTGATTACTGCCACACCTGTTCGCAATCAAGAAATCACTTAAATAGGACCTGCCTGACAAAGTGAAGTAGACCAAAAGATCCTCAAAAGCTAGACATCATGCCGAGATCCAAAGAAATTCAAAACCAAATGAGAAAGAGAATAATTGAGCTCTATCAGTTTGGAAAAGGTTATAAAGCCATTTCTAAAGCTTTGGGACTGCAGCGAACCACAGTGAGAGCCATTATCCACAAATGGCGAAAACATGGAACAGTGGAGAACCTTCCCAGGAGTGGCCGGCCGACCCAAATTACCCCAAGAGCGCAGCGACAACTCATCCAAGAGGTCACAAAAGACCCCACAACAACATCCAAAGAACTGCAGGCCTCACTTGCCTCAGTTAAGGTGAGTGTTCATGACTCCACCATAAGAAAGAGACTGGGCAAAAATGGTTTGCATGGCAGAGTTCCAAGACGAAAACCACTGCTGAGCAAAAAGAACATAAAGGCTCGTCTCAGTTTTGCCAGAAAACATCTTGATGATCCCCAAGACTTTTGGGATAATACTCTGTGGACAGACGAGACAAAAGTTGAACTTTTTGGAAGGTGTGTGTCCCATTATGTGTGGTGTAAAAGTAACACCGCATTTCAGAAAAAGAACATCATACCAACAGTAAAATATGGTGGTGGTTGTGTGATGGTCTGGGGCTGTTTTGCTGCTTCAGGCCCTGGAAGACTTGCTGTGATAAATGGAACCCTGAATTCTGCTGTGTACCAAAATATCCTGAAGGAGAATGTCCGGCCATCCGTTTGTGACCTCAAGCTGAAGCGAACTTGGGTTCTGCAGCAGGACAATGATCCAAAGCACACCAGCAAGTCCACTTCTGAATGGCTGAAGAAAAACAAAATGAAGACTTTGGAGTGGCCTAGTCACAGTCCTGACCTGAATCCAATTGAGATGCTGTGGCATGACCTTAAAAAGGCGGTTCATGCCCGAAAACCCTCCAATGTGGCTGACTTACAACCATTCTGCCAAGATGAGTGGGCCAAAATTCCTCCACAGCGCTGTGGCAGACTCATGGCAAGTTATCGAAAACGCTTGATTGCAGTTGTTGCTGCTAAGGGTGGCCCAACCAGTTATTCGGTTTAGGGGGCAAACACTTATTCACACAGGGTTTTGTAGTTTTGGATTTTGTTTTCCCTTAATAATAAAAACCTTCATTTAAAAACTGCATGATGTGTTTACTTGTGTTATCTTTGACTAATATTTAAATTTGTTTGATGATCTGAAACATTACAGTGTGACAAACATGCAAAAAGATAAGAAATCAGTAAGGGGGCAAATACTTTTTCACACCACTGTACATCTTAATGATGGAAACATCAAATACACACTATTGGATTTAATTTTCTTTAAGTGCCAGGTCTTTCAATGCTTCACCATATATTCATCTGCCTTTAACGAACAGAACATCAACAAATGTTTGTCACTAGATATAAATTGTAAAACTAAATAGTGCTATTTGTTTTAACATTTAGGAAACTGCCACTTGGCTGTGTTGCAGTCAGTTATATGTTTCCATAGTCTCATTGTAATAATTGATAAATCTGGAATTGATTCATTCAGCTCCATAATTGTGGTGAAGGTCTTTTTGTCTATGAAAATTTGCTAATGAAATTGAATTTATCTCCTGGCGTATATACAAGCAAATAAAACATGAGAGTGTGTTTCTTAGTGTACTGTATTGAAGATTGACATGTTTCTTGTTCTCCTTTAGCCCTGCAGGAGATTGAGGGCCGCTGTGCTGAGAAGTTGAGAGAGATGGAGGTTCAAGTCAATATGGCCAGGAGAGAGCACACCAAAGCAGGTAGTAGGATTAGCACCATGCTACCCTAGCCACAAGCAGCCTAACACAGGGACTGAAGTCATATCTGTAGACTGTGTTCTAATATGATCAGAATTATGTACACTGTATACAGCAGCATTTCCCAGTGGCTTTTGCTCTGTCTGTTTTGTCTCTTGCAGTTATGACTTTGCGTCAGTTTGAGAGGGAGGCAGCTAGGAAACAACTGAAGGAGATGAAGGAGGACAAAAACCTGCTGGTGAGACATTTAAGAAGTGATTGTCTTAATTTCTATCAATGGCCTCCTGTGACTTGAATCTGTTTCAGGCTTCTGTTGCTGAGCAAGGGCTGATCAGTGAGTATGCAAGAGTTCCCACAACATCTCTACAAAACTCTGCTGCTCCCAGAGAAAAACAACAAAAACCTTCAGAGAGGAGTTGCTCTGTGGGAGTGAAAGTCCAGCTACCTGCAGGTGGTAAGAAGTGTCCTAACTCCTCATGTGTCAGTTACTGAGTCCTAACATGTACACAGACATGACCGATTTGACCAGTGTCCTGTCTGTATCCTGTCAGAGAGACTCCTGTCTGTGTTGGAGGAGCTTCAAACTCTCAGCGCTGCAGTGGTAAACAGCTCTGAGGACTCTGCGGAGGAGGAGGGGCAGAGTGACAGCGCCGGGCCACCCACAGACAGTCTGCACAGCTGATACCTGATGAGTCACTAGAGGCAGGGAACATACCTTTAAATTGTATAAAAGTTGGGCAGTAGCCAATAAATCACAGTCAGTGGTAGGCTGTTTGAGCAAAGCATCAGAAAACCATGCATCTCCCAAAGCTGCTAGGTGTATTAGAGGAATAATAGCTCTCTAGTGCAGGCATGGTATGCTTAAATGCAACACAAATATAAATTCAAGTGTATAAAATCCCTCAGTATATCTTCTGCATCTGTCTCAAGGATGACTTTTAGTTACAGAGGATACTAGAAATGCTTGATGAACAAAAGGGCAGTTACTCAGTCTACATATCTGGGAAATCTACACAAGCATTCCTCTAATGTTGAATGAGCGATTTAGATGTTTATGTGAATATCTGTAGTAACTATAATAAAGTATTTTTTTTATTGTAGATTATGTGGTGTTTAATAGTATTTTTGGAAAGATTGCTGAATTCATGATTTCTCTTATTCACTACTAGTTGCCTGTAGTGTGGTCTAAACCCACACAAAGAAGAGTAAGCTTTAGTTTTACAATATTTTAGAGTCAGCTGAGGAAGTTATATTTGTAAAGCAGGCTTTAATGTGATTTGTGCAATTGCCCTGTTTATCTTTATATAGCACATGAACAGTTGAGGTGTATATGATTTCATATCGAAAAAAAATCAATATTTTCTATTTGAAGTTTCTTTTATGGAGGCCAGTTTTAAAATGACTTTGCAATCATTGTATGGAAGGCAATAAACATCATGATGAACCAGTTAATTGTGCTATTTGTCACGCTGCCCTGAGTGCAAATAAATTTAGCAATAGTTCGAAAAATTTGGAGCCACTGGGTAAAAACATCTTGTGGAGAGTCCAGACATTATTTTCTCTGATTTGTAGGAGCATCAAAACTAATTTTCAGGTACATGCTCATTGCTTGAGAGGCAATTCATTGATTTGTGTCAAGCAGAGGAAAAATGTTTTTCTTTTAAAATTACAGGATTTTAGTAAGGAACTCTTGCAAAACAGCACGTAAGCCATGAGAAAATTTGAATTTTATGTGAATCCTCTATTACAAAAATCAATGTCATCAGTGAGCTGAAGGTGACATCCTATCAGTCTGTTGTGTGATGTACTTCAAGTCACATAATGTATTAAGATGCACAATCAGATCAGAACCAGTCATATCAGTATCACTTAAGTAATAATTGTGAGTCATGATAGTAAATATTCAAGTAGGCCTACTGCAAGGAAGAAAGGATTAAAAGCAAACCACATTTTCATACACAGCTCAACACCAGCAGAGGGTGATATTGTCAAAGGTAAGAGCAACATATGCAGTAGTTTCCAGCATTATTCTGGGCTACACTTTGAAATGGGCACTTTCTTCATTGGAATATAGAGATGATGAAGATGATTATTTCTCATGGTTGTACAGATGTTTCTTACCTGCAGTAGTGAGTGAAGGTGGATATGTGGAAGTGTAGTGAAAAACAATCTGCTATTTATCAGTTCTCAACTAAATTAACCACTCTAAGAAACCTGTCTAGAACCATTTAGCACTGCACTGTTTCTCCGCAAATGGAAAGCAAACATGAGAATGGGACTCTGGTAGAAAAACTTTCTGGTTGATGCAAAAACATCTCAAAAATGAATGCTACAGTATACACCCTGAATAAATGCATTTATGCATCTTCATTGCCTCACTAGTGTGGAGGGAGTAGCACAGCAGTCAGACAGCACTGTGGTTAGCTGATGAATAATTTAGTGCACATTACACATTACAATCCAGACAAAATGTGAAATAATGTGAGGTAATAAAAATCAATCAAGCTGCTGACAGATTTCTTTTTTATTAACAATTGAGAAATAATGGCCAACAAACAACCAAGTGACTGCTACCATAGATATATGCACTATGTTTACATTATGCTCTCTTTATGTTTGCAGTAATAATACATCTACTCTTAAACCAGTTATTTTGCTGTTTTTAATTGGTAAATTGCAAAGTATTGTTGTGTTTATGTATGTGAGCCTCCCTCCCTGTTGTTCTGAGGCTGGTACTGTGCTGTCAAAGTGCAGCATGTCAAATCAGAACACCTGCTGTCATCGACTGTCTGCATCAGGACACCCAGTCCTCTAGGTTCTATCCACTGTTTGAGTGTTGGGGAAAGAATTTCTCCCTTTTGGTCAGTGGTCTTTGTTCATTTTCAAGCAGTAATTAATGACCTTATAATTACTAAACCTTGTATGAAATATTTATGATGCAACACAGAAATCAATTCTTACAAATACCTTATGATTGGAGAAAGAGCCCAATAAAAAACACCTACCAAAGGGGAGGTCCTCTTTGAAAACCTCTTTATGGTTTAGATGAGCAGATCCATTTTGCTAGATTATACTGGTGTAATATTCAGTACACAGCTTGTTGCTCACTCAGCAAACCGTGTTTTGTGTTTTGATCACCGGCAAGTCAAACTTCACCCACCACCTATGATACATTCTGGCCAAATGTCCCAAAGGTCGAGTCCTCCTGGTGCTGCTCCTCATTCAAGTTTGCTACGACCACTGACCAGAATAAACTACATACATCCCTTAAACTGGTCAGTTTTTACCACTGTATATTGTTTCAAGGACATGTAGCTGTTACCTAATGGTTGTCCCTTATCCGATTTGAGGGTCTTAGGACAGAAGATTTCAGCTTGTATGCTGTAAAGATTTTTATAGCCCCTTGCAAATTTGTGGTTTGTGATATTGGGCTATACAGAATTTGACTTGACTTAATCTTTGTAAAGTTCTTGCAGGCTGTTGGTCAGGGCAGGCTTGGAGCTGTGTCCGAGGTTGATGTGATCCAGTAAGTCAGGGGTGTCGACCACCAGTGCAGCATGAGATCCTTGTAGATGGCTGTGCACTGCTGTAGCAGGCCACACTACAAGTTACTGTAGCTCAGCAGCCATGGAGGAGGAAAGGCAGCTATGTAACCCTCTTTATAGATGCAAACAATGTGGGGGTAATGTTTGGAATGGCTGGAGTGAAATGAACTGTCTAAGCTTAAAACTATAGCAATGCTTTGTGCTATTGTTTGTAGTGGGTGTAATAAGCAGAAATCTATTCTTTTTCTGTTATGCCGTACTGACCTCTGAACAGCAACAAAATTAGATGATAAAAATACTCGTGTACTCATCTGAGATTTATCATAGAAGAGAATTCATATACTTTGCAAATTAACACATTTATTATTAATCACGACTATTTATTTTAAGCTGAGAAACATTGGGGAAAATCAAGTACAAAATTTATTTAAACTTTCAAATCAACAAAAAACAGCTTGGATGGAAAATGTAGTGAAGGTGACATCAACATATGGCTTCTTTTTTTAAACCACAATGATGATGAACATGTTGTCATCCATGCATGATGAAGTCTCCACCTGTGCCAATCAGTCACCTTGTTTTGAGCTGTAATTGCAGTTCCCCTTTGGGATCATCAGTGTCATTTCGAATGCAGCAGTGAGATATTGGCAGTGTTTACTAGATGTATGAATGGAGGAACAAAGTAAAGGATACTCACCTTTTGTTACTGCCATATATAGAATATGTGTATGTACTGTATAGGACCACTTTATGTTTTACAAAATGCTCTTAAAATAACAGCGGCCTTACAAGACCTGCGTAAGGAAAATAGTGTACATCTTAATCTGTCTCTTGTTCACCAGGTCAGTTTTAGCATTTAATGTTCTCATACATATATTGCAGACTTCACTGAAAATCTAATAGCCTACGCATTTTAAAAGCCACCGGAGATCTCTTGTTGGTTCGCATTTACGTCATGATGAAATGTTGGCAGTAAACGCCGCTTTTAGAGCGCTTTGTTGTTGGATGAGATTGCAAGCATTTTAAGACCAGGAGCAGCTTCTATACTGGCAGGACTTTCAAAAGCACAATGGAAAAACACATTTAGTTTTCTGAAAATTTAAAGTGAATATTTGACATAACAGTGAAATGTAAAATTATCACATCAAACATCCTGCAATGTGTGTGTAGACTAAAGTTCTCTCCCCAAGTTTACAGGTAATGTGGGCTATGGAGATCCTCAACTGAAAGTCAGCCAGGAGCCAGAACATGTAATGTTAGTTCTGACTTTATAACGTCTGTTGTTGACATCTCATCAGGTAGATAAAGAGACAAGGGATGTTTGCAAAAACAGAACATCAATAATTAAAAGTGCCAGGCTAATTTGTTTTGTTCAGTAAGTGCTTTGCCTGTGGGATATTCTGTTAAGGACGTGGGAATGTTTAATCAAATTTCCATTAATATTCATCCATGCTGCTGCACCTTAGCTCCCTCTGGTTACATCCAACAAGCTGTTAAAATAAGGATTCTTGTTACAAGAGGTTTTTTAATTTTATTTTTTCTTTTTGTTATCTCTTTGTTGTTTTTGGTGTAAAAGGTTGAATACATTTTTTTAGCGTCCAATAATATACAATATATTTAGCTACTGAAGCAGAGCAAAGGGGCCGAAGAACACAGGTATTGGCTGTAGAGGTTGGTTGCAGGGGTTTTGTGGCCATGTCAGCCACCAGGCTTCTGAAAGGGATTGGAGTCTGAAAACAGGCCGTCTGACAGGCTATAAAGTCATGGACAGGGGCTGCCGAATGGTGCTGCACCTGTCTCTGGCTGAAAAGAAAGCATAAGAACTGAGTGGCAAGATGACCACCAGCCGGCAGGAAGGGTTTATGTGGAGGAGACTGCACCTGGGATGCCAGGTGTTACTGTTGAACTGTGGAGGTGTTGTGGGCCTGTCAATGAAACGCCAAGGAAGGAGGGTGCCCACCTAATGACCCCAGTTAGGCTTCTACCTCCCTGCCCATTGATGTGCATGCCTTCAATGAAACACCAATGAAGGAGGGAGCCCATTTAATGACCCTAGTGAAGTGTTTTACCCCTACCCCCACTCAAGGAATGGTTGCCAATTATAATACAGGGTGTAAAAACAAGTCCTAAGAGCTCAATATCATAGCAAATAACATTAAATTATATGAAACTGCAATAGAATCTTTGGGGAAATAAAGCATAAACCTAGAATTTTCTTAAGAAATAGTAAGAGGTTGTGTTGTCTGTATCAGAATCTGTCTGGTTTATAAGCAATGTTAAGGGAATGGAGATCAAGGAGTCAACAGATTTATCATCACACAGATACAAACACAAGGATGTCATGCACTCTGAACATCAATGTGATCACCATGCCAACAATTTGGGGAAATAGTGGTTACACCAACTACAATGATTAGGTAATTAACTGAGTAGTAAATTGAGAGAAAATAAACTGGCAAATATTTAGATAAATCAATATTAGTTGTAGTTTTTTAATTATTTAATGCTACAGTAGCACTAGCATGAAACTCTAAATCAACCCACTCTGCTCCGCCCAGCCCTCTCTCTCCCTGTTCCGCTATATTCTACTATGATCTGCTACACTCCACTGTGGTCTGCCCAGCTCTTTAGATATTTGTCATTGCAAAATGCAAGAATCCAGAATGCAACAAAACTTACTGATCAAGCAGACATAACTGAAAATTTCTGATTGGCTACAGAGGTCAGTCCTGCTCAAAACCTATTAGAAGCTAATATCTCTGCACTGCTGCCAGTGCTGTTCAATGAGTCCGAGTCACAGGAGACTTTGACAGCACCTCTCTGCATTAAGATAGATTTTGGAGCAGATTTCTACAACAAAAATATTTGAAAAAAGTTACATACTGTACCTTTAATGCAAAAC